GAGAGAGAGAGAGAGAGAGAGAGAGAGAGAGACAGAGAGCGAGCAAGAATAACCGCGTTAGGATTAAATCGAGACCGTTCGACGAGAAAATCAGCTCATCCGATCGCAGTGTGATCACACGAAACTCGTGCGCGATCGTGCCCTCTGCGTCCCTCTCAGAGTGATTATTTTGACACGTTAGAGTTGATATTTCCCTCGCGGATGAGAACGTTGGTCGTTATCTTCTGATCGTGTGCCAACCGACCGGTCGAATTTTCCAGCCGATCGATTCCGCGGGAACAAACGAACGAATGAACGGACGAATGAACGAACGCACATCCGTCGCCGCCCGGAAGTTGGACAGGCATGGCCTACGTAATCCGCCGTGGTGGCGTATTCAACCCGGGAGATTACGATTACCGGCGAGTATTTACATAATTCGAGTCGCATGCGCGTCGCGCGTAATGACTTAGAGCAGGCAATCGCGCAATCTTCCACGAAAATCTCGCATATCTAAGTAGTCCAGCCGGCGGCAACCTCGACTAAGGTAAATAAGGAATAAGGGAGGTCAGGAAGATAGAAGATGAAACGGAAGACGAGGGACGCGAGGAGAGGAGTAAGAGAAGACCCGCAGGGAATGAGGCGCGGAAAGGGCCGACGTGGGGGCGGGGGTGAAAGGAGCAGGGGGATGAAAAAGGAGGGCGGGGGCGGGCGAGTGTGGACCGTAAAGTCCCGGGAGTAATATACTATCTATCACAAACGGAAGTAATGGTGTAATAGTTATGGACATTTCTCGAAGTGAAACGCTTATCGCGCTAAAACGACGCCCGCTACGACGACTACCGCCGACACCAGCACGCTCGCCAGATTCCTCTTCGCTGCCGACGTCTTGCGACGCTGTATCGCTGCCATCTTGTCACCTGGAACGGCACAGACAGGTGGATCTGTTAGTGAATCGAGGCTGAGAGAAGTCGATCGTTTCTCACTGCGTGCCGGCGCAATATCGGGGTAATCGAGACGTTACATCGACAGGACCGCGACAGGAAACGCACCGCGCTGAGAGAACGCAGCGCGTAGTGTCTTGTAAAGTTATTTCCGTCGAGAACGTTGGCGCGGCTGCGAAACGTTAACTGTGCCGTCGCGGGGACACGCGCTTTCTCAGAAAACGCATTTGCGGAGTCATTGGATTACGCGGATGCGGATTAAATCCGCGCGCAAAAACAGACACGAATCCGTGGCGGAACGAATCTGCGCTAAGCACGGTCGGTTTGATTCGAATCCATTATTTATATTGAACGTATGTATGTACGTATGTACGTACGCTGTTAGACAAGCAAAAGTCAAAATCCGACGGACCGATCTAATCTAAATTCTCATAGCCGCTGCACGTACGATGCGTACACACGCCTCTTGCTATTTGAATAATAAATTTTAATAGTAGCGCGCGTTAAAACAATCGTTAAACGCGTTCAGTCCGATTAACGGTGCGAAAGTATGATTAAAGGTCTCGTTTGATTTGCTTATCATTTTGAGACATATGTAATTTTCTAAACAAGTTCAACGGCTCTGTTTTGTGAATACACTGAGAACTACAGACAGTTGGATCGACAAAATCCACGGTCACCTTCCTCCAAAGAAATACCTCGTCCACTGAAATTAGCGCAACAATACATCGTGTTGATATAATTGTTGATCAAATAGAAATTATGGAGTCATTCAGCGCTGCAACTATTATGATTTCTTCACGAAGAACTTTTAAGGCTAATAACAGTCACAAGATGATGATTACGAGTAATTATTTTTACGATAATAATATGTTCGGTCGAGCGAATTTCATTCTTTTTTGTCGCTTGGAAAAAAATTCCAAGCGACATCTCATTGATTCCACCATTTTCTTCTCAATGGAAATATGCGTGGAAAGAGACGTGTCGTGTTTTTAAACGTTATTAATCTTCGGTATTAAAGAATCGGGAAATTGGATAAAGTCGACACATTATCTTGCACTGTGACAGAATATAGACAGACTTTCGTGTAAAATGGAAAATTTCACTTTTCAACAACGCCTGTTTTGCATTCAAAGGTGCGACTTAATCGACGCCGAGTGAGTTAATAGTCAATTGTACTTTTCACCCGATAAAGCTTTCTCGTGTGGCGCGACGCCGTTTGCGTCTTAAAGACCGTCCTAACGCGAATTTCGCTAACTCGGATTAGCGACGATAGAAGATCCGAAAGATTTCCATTATAATTTCCAATTGAAATTGTGGACTCCTGGACTCGCTTGCTCTCGGCGCGTCTCCCGTTGCATACAAAATTACTTCCAGCGCTCTGACGCATTGCAGCGTTGTGTTTGGTGAAACTGCACGGAATATGCCGTGGATTACTGAGCTAATTACTGTCGTAGTTACTCGCACTGTGCGTCGTAGCTGCCGCGGAATAATTGATGCTGATAACAGATATACGCCGCATATTATAAATTGTATTATACAATACCGCGTGCACACGTCGTATCGTGCCGATATTAATTCGTTGTTATGAGCATTGGCAATAATCACAGAGTGGACGAGAATCTCCAGTTGGTAGCAATATGAGCAAATTACTTCCAACCCATATCGCGGTCTTTTCATTTGCATTTCATTTCTTTTCTTAGGTTCTTCTAATACGCAATGTGACTAATTGTTTGCCAAGGCACAACGTTTCTGTGCTGTAAATGAAGATAAAACGTGAAATTGTCTCTGCGATTGAAACGAGCGTATAGTCGCGTATATGTGTAATGATATAATCGCGAAAAGTAAAGTTCGTAGATGAAAGAGATATAGGTGTTGGTCCTTCAAGGATTAAAAAAATTGACTTAAAGAATTACTCGGAGAATCTGACATTAATATCTAGAATGGGAATTCTAATGCTCGGTGTGTATATATCACTTTAATTGTGATTAAGTTATAATACCCGAGTCGAAATTTTAGTTCCATATTAAGCCTGTAAATTCCATCGTACTCTTGAAAGGACTACTATATATATATAGAATCTTGAGATATACGACTATGCACGCATTACTGTCTTCCTTTGATGTTATTATTATTTATTGCCGTTTGCTTCATGTTGAGGCTTAAAGGACTTTTGTTTCAGAACTATATAATATTTGATTATCTTAATATTTTATTTATGTGTGTATATGCATTTAATATTTGTTCGTAACTTCGACAAGTAATGTATTAGTAGTTTTAATTATAATTAATTACATAATTTATTTAACTACATACTGTGTGAGATAAGCAAATAATTAAAATGAGATAATGAGATCATTAAGTAAATAAAATAACTTTATAATTCTTTCATTATATTTTTATTTGAAGCAAAGAAATTTCGATAGGTTTGAATACTCAAAAGGGATGAAGAAGGCACTATTAAACGCAAAAAAGTAACATTTGCAAGATTAACGTTAGATTCTAAAACTGACAAGTTGAAAATTTTTTATGATTTTTAAAGGTAGTAGTAGTAGTATTTTATTACTGTTCAACTATTTTTTTTTTAAAGGTAGTAAATTACAACAAATTTGTATTCATGGATCGTTATTCCATAGATCAATTTTTTACTGTATAAAATACGAGTACAGGTTGGCGAATAATCAAAGATTTACGAAAAACCATAATTATATATTATTCGTCAAATAATATTGAACGATGAATGCCGGTTTAAATTTTGATACGAATATTTACTTCTTTATTCCCACTAAGTACATCATATATCCGTTAGAATCAGAAACCTCTTGCATAATAAATGATTTCACACATCTGGAAATATATGATGCATGGTTACTCGTGACCCAGTATTTTGTGTCCTCCATTCTGGCTACTTCATCATTCTAGATACTTACTTGTAGCACTGATATTCGTGTAAATACAATTTGATCGAAACATCAAACATCCATTCCGATTAAATATTTTATGAACCGACCAAATATTTTAATTGCTCAAGAGGAATGATAGATAACGTAGTTCGCGGGGTATTTAGATTACTTGAAACATAATATAACACTCGAAACAGTATGCGACGCACAAAGATAAGTTTGACCTCCTCGAAGGAGGAATGTTTTGAGAGTATTGATTGTTGTTATCTCTTAGCCGTGGCCAACGACGGTTTGCGATGGACGGATATCAGAGCCCTTTTTGCTTATTGTTTTGGTATTTTCGCACGTCGTGTGTTATTCCGTAATCGAATCATTTTGTGACCCATATACCGTAACGTGGAACACGTATATCAGTACGTTACTAAGGTGACCAGATTTTCCAGCCCTGAATTCGGGACACTTCATAAATGTGTGAAGTGGGGGACGGAGGAGGAGGATAAAAAGATCCAAAAATTATTTGACAATCATTGAAAATGATGACAAGTCGGTGTCCCGAATAGCACTCGAAAAAATTCGGAATAAAGAGTGAAAAATCGGGAGCGTTTGGTCACCTTAGCTGTATGTGTCAAGAAGAGAGGAGATTACTCCGTAATAATGTTCTTACGATATGTCCTGACGACCGCACGTCGTTGTTTTCGGTACTCTAATACTTATTTCCACAAGAGACTTACAGGATATAAGCGAAAGACGTATAGAATACGGAGCATTGTGTTCATAGCAGTTGCTTGGCATAAAAAGATCGCAGACGCGCGCTGTCAATCACGTACACCAAAAGTTCATTAGCGCGCCAAAAGTGCTTAAAATGCATGAATGTGAACACGCCATTGATACGAACGAAGTCGCGCGTTTATAACGACGCGATCTGTACGGCGCGCCGCGGCGGACGCCTTAACCACTTGCTCGAGTTACTAACCACTCTAGACCAATCGCGTTCGTTTCGCACTACGAGGTTGTCATCGTGGTTATTCAATCTAGACGTTGGTAATGAATCGCGCTAAATGCTCGATCTTTTCGCGCCAAGCAGCAGCCATGGGCACACATCGATCGACATCGCTCCGCGTTTCTTGTGTCTTTTATCCGTCGAAAGTGAGTCTCACGCGTTAATAAGTCTCGAGAGTGTCGAGAATAGCGATGTGCGATCGCCGGGGCGTATCGTGAAGATGTCATTTGTAAGTAATCTTCTCGTTTCTCCTTGCGGTATATGTAAGGTGACCAGATTTTCCAGCCCTGAATTCAGGACACTTCATAAATGTGTGAAGCGGGGGGAGGGAGGTAAAAAGATCCGAAAATTATTTGACAATCATTAGAAATGATGACAAATCGGTGTCCCGAATAGCACTCGAAAAAATTCGGGACAAAGGTTGAAAAATCGGGACGTCTGGTTACCTTATATGTTACTTACAATTCCCGTTGGGTGAACAAGAGATTTCGTTGGTTTTTGGGATATTTTATCGGATTCTCGTCGCCATTGCATTTATTAACACATGTTTTTCTGATAAAATTGTATTTACACAGATGTTAGCGTCATAACATTCGAAGTGCCACGACAGAGCCAAGATGTTGGATTATAGGAAATCAGGACGAAGGAGGCAGGACATCGAGACGTAACTAGCAATACATCGAATATTTCAAGATATCTTCGAATCTTCTATAATAGGAATATTTTTGGTTGTAGCACCGATGTTCAAACAACTAGTAAATTCAACCTCGGTAGTAATTAGTTGTTTCACTATTTCAATGATACGTCTTAGCTGTTACAGCTATATCTTAGCTCTCACAGCTGATCCTTTTCCTTCACGTAGTTATTACAAACAATGTTGGCTTCATAAATCTCGCAGAAAGATAAGGAAAGTTAATTATTAATTCGCCCATTTTATTAAACTATTAATTATTATTCACTAATATTAATTATTTAACATTTACTTATTTTGCACTCTATCTACAATTAATCAAGTTATATAAATAATATATTGCTTGATAAAATTAAAGATAAAAATTGAACGATGAAGTATT